GATGAGGTCTCGCCAAGTTGCCCAGGCGGGTCTCGAACCCATAGGCTCAGGCAATCCACTCACCTCAGCCTCCCAAAGGTGTGGTATTATAGGCTGAGCCACCGAACCTGGCTATAAAGCCTTTTTTTATTAAGAGAATGACACTTCATTTGCTTCAGGATTGAGGTGTCTCTCCAAACTGAGATGTAGGCTCCTTTGTCTCATTAGAGCTGGGCACTCCTGCTGCACATGGGCAGTTTCCAGACAAAGGCTGTAATTAATGGCAAATCAGGGAATGGACTTAATATGAAAGACAGATGTAATGTCATGGGGAAAACCTTGTCATTGTAATTATCAAGGGAATTGATTTTTAGTCTATTTTCTTCAATTTGAATGGAAGAGTAGAAAGGTTGAATCCAGAATAGCAAGCTATTCTGCTGAGCAGTTTGCAGTGAATGGAAAATTACAAAAGTTAAAAAAAAAACCAAAGCATCCAGATAGACAGTATATCCCTTTGTTCAAAAAGTATTAACTGCTGGGCATGGTGGCTCATGCCTGTAAACCCAGCACTCTGGGAGGCCAAGGTGGGAGGATTGCTTGAGCCCAGGAGTTTGAGACCAGCCTAGGCAACATAGGGAGACCTACAAAAAATTAGCTGGGTATGGTGGCTCATGCCTGTAGTGCTGGCTACTTAGGAGGCTGAAGCAGGAGGATCACCTGAGCCCACAAGGTTGAGTCTGTGGTGAGCTCTGATTGTGTCACTCTATTCCAGCCTGGGTGGCAGGGTGAAACCCTTCCTCAAAAACGTAAAAAATGTGAATAACATGATAATTATTCAATATAAATTTAGACAGTGTATTTATTCTGTTACATTCTAATCAACAAATCCTACTCATTCAGTTTCTTTTTACCTTTTTAGGAAACATACTCCCAAACTAAGCCCAAGATGCAAAGTTTGGTTCAATGGGGATTAGGTAAGTTTATTTTTATTAGGCATACTTAATTATTAACATTGGACTCTTTAACCAAGTTCCACGAACAGGCTCCAGGAGATCTGTGGATTCCTTAAAATTTTATGCAGAATTTTAGAGCTATGTGGATTTTTATGCAAAGAGGATTTATTGTTTTCTTTTTTTGTTGTTTTTTTTTTTGTGGTGGGGGAAGTGAAAGGTTCCCGTGGAAAAAATGGAAAACCTGTTAGGCAAATTCTAAAAGAGCTGTAACACTAGGCTCTGTTGTTTTCATCAGATTTCAGAGGGCTAGTGTCTCCAAACACTCAGATAAATCTCTTCAAGATCATTAGGATTCTTGGGCTAGCAAGTATAGATATACTGAATTAAAAAAAAAAACAAAGCAAAACAAAAAATTATTTCCAGGCACAATCTAATCCACCACACTAACTCATCAGTAGATTTTCAGAATCAGAATAGCTCTTTTGTGCTGCTATTATACATGCTCTAGAAGTTTCTAGGCAGGAAGGAACTAAGCTGGTATGCATCAGTTCTTAGGAAAGGACTTATTGCATAATTAGTAGTATTCTTACATTTTTTATTTGGCTTTTATTTTTCTTGATTGTTTTTCACATGTGGGCCTCTTATCACATATACTCATAAACTGGGTTCACAGTCTGTATTCTGACTAATATCGGTCAGGAACTGGTAAATTAATACAGACACTGATCATAATTCATTTCATTCCTCTTACTGGGCATCTTGGCAAATTAGAATCACTGGTTCTTTAAATTATTAAAGCATGTTAATAAGTAACATCTTAGTTTTATTAATTTCATAAACATTTAGTGCTTATGATGTGTCAGGTACTATTCCAAGTACTTTAGAAATATTTATTTAATCCTCATAACAACCCTGACAGATACTTTATCATCTTAATTTTTCATCTGAGGAAACTAAAGAACTCCTGATATAATCTTTTATTCTGTACATGTGCAACTGAGGAGGCATCTTCATTGTCATTTCCCATTGATTCGTGGCAATAGGCATTATTTACAATGTTAGTCTTTTTTCCTCCTCCTGGACTCATACTTACTGCAAAGGTTTTTAAGAAGAAACGTTCCTTTATTGAGTTGTATTGTTGTCTGCCAAGACAATCAGTCCATTTTCAGCTTTCACAGCCAAGACATGTTACCAGAAGCTGAGCTTCGGCTTCAGTACAGTCTTAAAACATATCTTCTTTCCCATTTCTTTGTGATTTGCCCATTTTGGCTAAGCTCACCAAAGCCATCTGGGTGTCCCTCTGTCAACTGCTCTGTGTACATGTCTAGAATTGAGCAACACTGGGCTGGCAGGCAAAAATGAAAGGAAGTAGAAAATTGCCTCAAATGACCCACACTGGAGGATGGAAAGTAGAAACTAGATTAAAGGCAGAATAAGTAAAAGACCAGACAGTAAATAATACAAACATAATATGAGCCTTATAGTAGTATTTAAAATGATCACATTTCCCAAAGAACCCAGGAAAGGAAAACTGGCATGTATCTGATATTACCTAGGGTAGAGAATTACTGACTTTATCAGCTTATTAGTTCAGTTCTGCATACATTTGTGAAGTCTCCATCATGCCAAGCATTGAAGATTGAGGTTGATGAAGACAATGGTCACAGCCACTGAGATGCATATGATAAATTGTTCAATACTAGTGCAAAGACAGAGACCAATCACAAACCATTATTGAAGGTACAGAGGAAGGAGACTCTATTAAACTACTAGTTTACTAGAGATTGTGGGAGATGGGTACAGTCAGGGAAGGATTTCTGAAGTGAATCTTGAAGGAGCAGTATTAACCACACTAAAACATGGGGGTGGGACTGTGGGCAGCAGGCATTCCAGGCAGTGGGCACAGCATGATCAAGGCTTAGAAGTGTGATATGGCCGGGCTCGGTGGCTCAGCCTATAATCCCGTGCCTTGGGAGGCTGAGGTGAGTGGATTGCCTGAGTCCACGGGTTTGAGACCTGCCTGGGCAACTTGACGAGACCTCATCTCTACAATAAATCAAAAAAATTAGCCGGCTGTGGTAGTGCGCGCCTGTAGTTCCAGCTACTTGGAAGGCTGAGGCGGAAGGATTGCCAGAGCCCAGCAGGTCGAGGTTGCGGTGGCCGGGAGCGGCCACTGCATTCCAGTCTGGGCGACAGAGTGAGACTCCAACTCAAAAAAAAGAAGTGTGACATGGTATTGAGTGTCTGAGTAGCCATGAGCAGATAGGGAGTGCTGAAGATGAGGCTGAGAGAGAGATGTAAGTCATGACCTAGCTGAAGTTCATTTGTGAATTAATCTAGTATTCCTCGCCTCCTGGCAGTGTTCTTAATAAATAAATATCGAATGAACATCCACTATTGCCACTGAGGGAAGGTAATGTAGAAGTCTAAGCAATCCACCATTAAGAAACTTACATTCTTTTTGGGAGACATCAAATATATGCCTGAATAATTAAACACAAGGTAATATAGGATTAGGTACCAAGTGATGATACAAAGAATATGATGGGACTTTAGAGGAGGGAGAAAGGTCTAGACTGGTGAGCTTAATTAGGAAGATTTTTTCTGAGGAGGAAGGACTCAAGCTGGCTCTTATTTGGTGAGATCGGCTCAGTAGAGAGAGGAGAGGAAGCATCATGTGAGTGAAGTCATAAGGCATCTTCAGGCATGGTGAATAGGCTCATGTGTTGCATTTACTTTTATTTATTCTTTTTACTATCAACAGTGGCTATTTCTTGAATGAACTTGTACTGCTACAAGTTTCCTTTATTATCTAAATTATTTATTCTGTTTTTGAGTTTGAATCATGAGTTCAGATGCCAAAGGATACTTATTTTTCTGAGTCCAATGTATTCAGTTCCTAAGTTTCAGAGAACAAGCAGCAAAGCTTCAGACAGCAACAGATCTATCTAAAGATTTATCAAATCTGTTCTGTTTTTGTGTTTGGATAACAAGAGTTTGGATAGTGAGGGATCCCCGTATTTGTATTTCTCCCTGTGCAGAAAGCTGATTCAGATCTGATGCCTTCAGGAATGTGAGGTAATATAACATTACTTTATTGTCAGTAAGTTGTCAGACCAAAAGTGTTTGAAAATTGGACACTTGCTATGTGAATAGTATATCTTGTTTATATATCACATAAAATGTGTTGAAAAGAAGCATACTAGCAGAAAGCAAAGAATACACGGTTTAAAAAGCATTTGTTACTATTATGCTAATTATATACTATATAAGACTTTTTTGTTTGTTTTTTAATGAGCAATTTATGGAACTGCTTCCTGGTTTGATTTTATTGTAGACAGCTATGAATATCTCCAAAATGCACCTCCTGGATTTTTTCCAAGACTTGGTGTTATTGGTTTTGCTGGCCTTGTTGGACTCCTTTTGGCTAGAGGTAGGTGTGATTTTGTGGGTTCCTTTTTTTTTTTTTTTTTAACTGTCAGTTCATATGGGAGAGACAGGATATATGTTTGACTCTTATTTACCAGTTTTCAGAATAATGAATTGGTTCTTAAGTATGGCTTTCTTAATGTATAATTGATATGGTTGTTTATTCCTTTGTATTTGATTTTAACCATATAAGGAAATTATATACTCTTGGTTAAAAAAAAAAAAAAGAAATCAAACTGGGTGTGGTGGCACATGCCTGTAGTCCCAGCTACTTGGGAGGCTGGAGTGGAAGGATTGCTTAAGCCCAGGAATTTGAGGCTGCAATGAGCTATGATTGTGTCACTGCATTCCAGCCTGGGGAGCAGAGCAAGACCTGTCTCTAAAAATAAAAATAAATAATAATAATTAGTTATCCTTTATAGGCACATTTACTTGATCAAATCTCTATTTCTCTTTATTACAGAAAGAGCGAAATTTTGTTCAAAGTCTTTTACACCTGAGAAATAAACTATCTCTAAATGTTTCACTATTAAAATCAGACTATGGCCGGGCTCAGTGGCTCAGCCTGTAATCCCAGCACTGTGAGAGGCCGAGGCAAGTGGACTGCCTGAGCGAGCCCGCGGGTTCGAGACCAGTCTGGGCAACTTGGTGAGACCTCGTCTCTACAATAAATAATAAAAAAAATTAGCCAGGCATGGTAGTGTGTGCCTGTAGTTCTGGCTGCTTGGAAGGCTGAGACAGAAGGATCGCCGGAGTCCAGCAGGTAGACGCTGGGGTGGCTGTGAGCGTGCCACTGCACTCCAGCCTGGGTGACAGCGTGAGACTCCAACTTAAAAAAAAAGAGCAGACTACTAATAACAATAAATAGAACAGTAATTTTATAGAGATTTTATTAACTTCTTGATGTAGCATGACTTCAGTCAGTGATGATGTAAAAACTTTAAAAATGTTTAAAATTAAAACTAATGAATGTCAACTTAAAAATATCATTACACTGCTGTATTATAAAACATCTATAGGAAATGAAGGATGATAAAACGTTTCACTATAATGAGATGAATTTGTTATGAACTATTTAAAGTTTTGCTGATTGTAAAATAAATGTTTATGGAATAAAATTCAGACATTACAAAGATTTCTAATAGAGAAAGTTTATGAACCCTATAATCAGACCCCCATAAAAGAGAACATAGAGACTAATTTGATACCCATTCCTCCAATTTAAAAAATATTCCCAGCTGGGCTCGGTGACTCAGCCTGTAATCCCGCGCCTTTGGGAGGCTGAGGTGAGTGGATTGCCTGAGCCTGAGGGTTCGAGACCCACCTGGGCAACTTGGCGAGACCTCATCTCTACAATAAATATTTAAAAAAATTAACCGGGTGTGATAGCGCGCGCCTGAAGTTCCAGCTACTTGGAAGGCTGAGGCGAAAGGATCGCCGGAGCCCAGCAGGTCAAGGCTGTGGTGGCTGGGAGCAGCCACTACACTCCAGTCTGGGTGACAGAGTGAGACTCCAACTCAAAAATATATATATATATATATATATTCCCTCTGTGTGTATTAAACATTTGTTTTGAGTCTGGAGAATAGACACTGTCTTGGTGCCACTCCCAGCTCACCTGTGGAAGGAACTCATGCTGCAGTCTTCATGCCCTCCTCCCCTTCATGTGGAATGTATAAGAATTAAATTCCTGTCAGGCATGGTGGCTCATATCTGTAATCCCAGCACTTTGGGAGGCAGAGGTGAGAGAATAATCTGAGCTCAGGGGTTCGAAACCAGTCTGGGCAACATAGTGAGACCTAGTCTCTACAATAAATAAAAAAATTAGCAAGTTATATTGGTGCACACCTGTGGTTCCAGCTACTTGGCAGGCTGAGGCAAAAGGATCACTTGAGCTCAGCAGGTCAAGGCTGCAGTGGCCATGAGCATGCCACTGCACTCCAGCCTGGACAACAGAGTGAAACTCTGACTCAAAAAAAAAAAAAAAGAATTAAATTTCCAAGCTGAGTGTGGTTGTGGTGGCACACTCTTGTTGTTTCAGCTACTCAGTAGGCTGAGGTGGAAGGACTTCTTGAGCCTAGGAGTTCAAGGATAAGTGGGCTATGATTATGCCACTGCACTCCAGCTTGGGCAAAAGAGAGAAAGACCTTGACTCAAAAAGAAAAGGAGAGAATTAAATTTCCAGCTAGTTTTTTATAATCAACTTGTGAACCAACTTTTTCCCCCCCAAACTTCTTTTCCCTACTTTCTTGCATAGCTGTTCAGAAAAGCATTCTGGTCTTATTTAGATAGTGTTTGAAATTGATGGACATCTCAAGGCTTGTATGTTGAGATTTTGGCTACTGTTAGGAAGATGGGAATGTGAGATTGGGTGAGAGAGCTTCTTTCTCCCTTTTCATGGTTAGCTTATATGGGGAAATCTTCCAGGCCCAAAGAAAGCTCTTTCTCTGTGCTATGGGTATGTTCCTACACTGTTAAGTGTTTGTTCCCCTCACATCCACTATGGTGACCATCCTGAGGAGGATTGGAGACTATTTTCCTGAGCAGAACAGCAGCATGGGGACACCCACTACTCTGGGTCCTCTTCCTTTGTTTTTCTTTTTTTGTTCCTATCTCTGTTCTTCCTTTTCCTGGGAGGCCTCAGTAGTATTAAAATAAATTGAAACCTTAATTCTTTTTCACAAATGTTCACACAGGCACGCACACATACACAACAGCAGGTCTTTTCCTGTGGGTATTGGGTGTACAGGCCTAAAGTGAGCAGCATCAGAGGGGTTCACCAAACAAGATGAGTGGGGTGGTAGGGATGTCTATGAGTGTCTAAAGTGGTTTGCAGGTCTCTTCATGTAGGTGGTCCCTTATGCTGGCAGCAGCAAGAGGATGGGCAGGCACGAAAGGTCCCTCATGGTAGAGTTTCTTGAGTGTATCTGCTAAGGTATTCTGCCTCAGTTTATGAGGATGGCCAAGACTGTGGTAGTAACAAGAGGTTCCCAGAGAGGTGAGTAGTAAATGATCATTCAGAGGAAGTGGGCCCAACTGGGCCACTCCAAGATAGCAGGTGGCTGTTGCCACTAATGTTGCTTTCTGGTGGCTCTTCCCAGTACTGGCAGCCCGTGTCCTCTCTCCCCACCCTAACCCCCCCCCCCGCCCCTGCCAGCCTCCTGCAGTACTGATGGTTACAGCCCACACCACTGACTTCTTGGGAGAGGTGGGCATGGAGGCGGGGGTTTGGGATTGCACTTCCTTCCTGAGGTTCTGGGGTCCCCAGGTCCTTGTGTAGACCAGCAGGAGCTGGAGGGCCAAGAGCTACTGCTTCTCAGTTTTCCCTGGAGGAGTGAAAATTGACTGAGTGGCAGGTGGGCTGCTCTTCCCCTGGCCCTCACCTGTGTGAGCTGCCCAGGAGCTTAACTTCAAGTGGATAGAGGGATCCCAGAAGTGTCAGGCTTTTCTTCTCTAGGATAATACCCTTTCAATCCAAGCAACAGGACCAGGAGAGAAACAGTATATTATTTTTTATTTTATTTAAAAAAATTTTTTTTGTCAGGAGTAATGTTTAATGATATTACACAGGAAGTATCATGTTTTTTTGCACAACTAGAAAATTTTTTTTCAGTTGAATTCCAACTGGAATGTGACTGTCCACTAACGTACCGGCATGCCAAAGAATACAAAGAGCAGTGTTAAGTTTAAAGAACTGCAACTTTAGACAGACAAACACATGTCATTCCTACACTAGAAGTAAAGTAAGCAGGTCACATTTACAGGGCACAATTGGGGAAGAAAAATATTTTTAGGCACTCTGTTTAAAGTGAACTTTATGTATTTGTAAGTTCAAAGGCTAAGAACTACATACAAAGAATTACAGAGCATCTGAAACAAGAAAATGGTCACCCCATACCAAACACCATTGGAAAAGACTTGAGCAACACAGAGAGTGATGAGTATATTGAGAACATGGTGGTGATTAATATATGGACTGAACTTGAGCAGAGATGAGAAACAGTGATTTATTAAGAATCTAGTTGATAACACTTGTATTCTCTTTTGTAATCCCATCTAATCTTTGGGAATTTGTCAATTTAAACTTTTAAAACCAATAAACAGCACTTACATTATTAAAACTGTTTAAGGATTATTAATATACACTGTGCTAGCATGGGTCCCATAGCAGAAACACTGTGCCTGTCAGTGGAATCAAGTCGATATGCAGTCTCCTGTTTCCCCCTCTACCAGTTTTCTTGCCCTCATTCTCAGATTTCTCCAAGCTCTGCATTGTGCTGTCTCTTCTAGCCATTCCTCCTTTCCCCCACAGCTCTACATCCACCTACAATATGGCCTGAGACTTCAGCATAGCTCTTGTCCTGGGACTTGTCCTCTTCACACTGTCTTAGACCTGAGCTCCCTTTTTCCTGATTACTATGTCATCTTCTCCTTGGTTTACTCTGCCATGCTGTTGCATTACGTGCTTAAGTCACTTTCAAAAATGCACATGTTGGAGGTAAACTTCCCAAGAACCTTGCGTGTCTCAAAATCACTTTCAGCCTTCGTACCAAGAGATAATTTGGTTGAGCATAGAATTTGTTTACCATTAAAACTTTGTAGGCCATGACTTCTAGCATCCAGCTTTGCAGAGAGTTGATAAACCCAGTCTGGATGTTTGCTGCTTTTAAGTGATTGATTTTTTTTTTTTTTCTTCCTGGAAACTTTGAGGATTTTCTCTTAATCTTTGTGTTGTGAATTTCCATGGTGCTGATATAGATGTTTTCGTTCTTTAGCTAGACATTTTGGTGGCTTTCAGCCTTCAGCTTAAGGAAGATATCTATCTTGTATTTCTTTGAAAATTTACTCTCATTCTTATTCCTTCCTGAATTCATGTTAATTAGCAATTAGGTTGTTTAAAATGACCCTATGTCTCTCTCTCTCTCTCTCTCTGTGTGTGTGTGTATGTGTGTATATGTGTGTGTGTGTGTGTGTGTGTGTGTGTGTGTGTGTGTG